GAGAGAGAGAGAGAGAGAGAGAGAGAGAGAGAGAGAGAGAGAGAGAGAGAGAGAGAGAGAGAGAGAGAGAGAGAGAGAGAGATTGGGGAGGTAATATGTGCGCATGATCTCTTGAGAGATTGGGGTATAATTGGGTTGTGCTTTGCCCGCTGTTGTATGGTCAAGATGCGACAGTCCTCTACTAGCGCTACTAGCGTGGACGTAGCCGCGCTGGCACTTTTTGTGCCGCTTCTCCATTTTAGCCTGTCCTCTTTGGCCCTCTCTGCACTCCAACGAAATTACTTGGTCTTTGTGTTCCTTTCGTGTCCTGTCTCTCGCTCTTGGTCCCTACGTCTGCATCTCTCTCTCTCTCTCCCTCTCTCTTTCTTCGTCACTTTTCCCATTCTTCTCCCTTACATTGCAACTCCGCTGCTTGTCATTCACTTGTCAAATCGTTGTTATGACTTGTTTTACCCAACTCTGCTGTCTCCTGCATTCCTCTTCGTGCTAATTCCCACTTCTGCTGCTGTTGACTGGCGCGATCCCGATGCTGAGCTGGAATTGAATGATCAGATGAAGATGATAGAGTGAGTGAACAAAAAAAAAAACAGAAATATGATAGAGTGTCTGTGACTTATCTATCGCGAGGATGATACGTATGCAAATCCGGCTGGCTATGCCTTTCCATAGGCATTTCATAAATAGCAAAAACGACAGTGGGCTCACCTCTCTTCCCCTTTGGCTGTGTTCCTAAACTCACTACTCTCTCTCTCTCGCCCCTGACTTTCCTTTCTGGGCCTTCTTCCGATTCCGTATCTCTCTCCATCTCCATCTCCTCCCATCTAGGCTTCCAGAGTGGCCCGGGACCACTCGCCCGATCTAAACCCCGAGGCAAAAGTTGTCCAATTTATTTTTCTGCATATCATAGTTTTTTTACGTTTTTTTTTTTTTTTTTTTTTTTTTGGCAAGGGCCGCCCGGGCAACCAAGGTGACCCGGGCGGCCCGGTTCGTAGCCCGGCCTTCAATACGTTTCACCTGGTCGTTTCCTACTTGTATGTCTTCTCTCTACCTGCGCAATCGTTGTTCTTGGCAGATTGATATGTTTTTTTCCCTCGTCCCTTCCTCATCTCTCTCTCTCTCTCTCTCTCTCTCGCTCTCTCTCTCACACACACACACGCACTGTTTTTTCCTCTGTCCTTGTGCGCAGGGTGCCCCGCCAGACTGTCCTGTAGTCACATCAGTGCAGAGGGGTGGAGAAGACACCGCGAGGGATGAAGATGATGCTTCTCCTGCATAAAGGTGATATTTTTCGGCCTTCTTCCTGTTGTGTATCTTACCCCCCTCGTCGTCTGTCTGATCAGCCAGCCAAAGATGAATTCCCGAAGAAAAAGGTGCCCGAAGGAGAAGGGTATCGTCATAGACTTGTGTAGCGACGCAGCTGAGGATGGAGTTGTCTCGGCAGCGTCGCAGGGGGTCGAGCAGGTACGGCGGCGGAAGGGCAACATAGGTGGGCGAAAGGATTGTTGTATAGATGGATGCACGGTCGTGCCTGGTGGTCTTTCTGCTTCTGTCAAGGGGCCGCAGAAGAGGAGACGCAATTCGCTGCAAATGCTGCTTGCTAATCAAGAAATTGTGGAGTACAGGCTCAGGTCGAAAACAAGGAAACATGAGGGAGGATCCTGCAGAGGAGGAGAGGTGCAAACGGGCAAACGTGGCCTCGACGATCCTGGGGATGAGAGGCAGGATGGTGCATGCGCCGGTGCCAGAAGGATGGGTGGCAGCGAAGAGGAGGCGACGTGGAGAAATGCTGTGGAGGAGAGGGGGGAATGGGTGAAGAACGGCATGTGTGCGAGGATGGAAGGACGGAATGCACACGGGAGCGGCTGTGGCAGTGAAGACGTAGGGAGGGCTCATGGTGGAATGGCAGACTCCTTATTGGATACGATGGTAAACAGAGAAGAACCAGAGATTGCCGCGGAGAAGGAGATTCGAGCGGAAGAGAGGAGGGTGGCACACCGTGGGAGAGAGGGGGATGTGACAGTCAGTGGCAAGCAGCTGGGGAGTGTGCATGAGAATGGCGAGGTGGTAGAAGAGGGGTGCAACAGGGGTGTCATTTTGTTCAGAAGAGGTGATCGAGGAGGAGGAGGTGTAGGAGGAGGAGGAAACCCCACCAGGAGGGAGGAGGTTGAGGAAGGAAGCCTGTTGAGAGAGAAACCGGGGGCGGGCAAATTACTCCTCCCCTCGTGGGATGGAGGTGGTTGTACAGACAACAAAAAGTTATCAGGTGAAAGGGACGGTGGAACTCTGCGTGGGCACGCTGAACGAGGCCTGTTACAAGAGAGGGAGTCGTACAAGCGTCACGGGCCCCAGGACAAGGGACAGACAGAACGATTAGGGGGGACCCAGGGGGGTGGAGGAGCAGCATCTCCGTCAGCTCGTCAAGCTTTCACACAGGAGGAAGTTTGTCTTGTAGAAGCAGAGGATGAAAAAATCCCAGCAAATGATAGGACTGCCAGTGCGACCTGCATTGCTGAGCAGGGAAGGAGTCCTAATGTAGAGAGCAGCAGAAAGGCAGGTATCCTACCTGAGGGGCAGGGGCAGGGACGGAGGAGACCAGGAAAGAGAGCCAACCCAAAAGAGGCAGCAGCTGACACAATAGGGACTGGGGTGGCGGACTTACTATTAAGGAAGGGGTCGAACGCGTGTAGAAGCAGCGTTAATGGTAGTAAAGTGGCAGCAGGAGTAGATAGACTGGTTTGTGGAACAGCAAACCAGTCAAACCAGTCAAACCAGTCAAACCAGTCAAAGAAGTGCAAGGTAGATAGAGTAGCGTGCGTCGGAAATAACACGACTCGTGGAGATTTGGAAGTAGATGGGAGAGTAGGGTGTGAAAATGTTGAAGAGAAAAGAGAGGATAATGAGCGGTTGACACGAGGGGCAATCGAAGTGGTAGCTGCTGCTGATGATGCAGACGACGATGCATGCGTGAAGACCAAGGTTGAAGTAAAATGCTCTGGGACCTCTGAGCCAATCAGGAAGATGCCTGCGAGGAGGTGCAAGGCGAAGAGTCTGGCGGAAGGAGAGGATAGAAGGCGGCACTGTGAAAAGGAAGGAGGCTCCGCAGACAATAACGATGAACCTGAGAAGGGAAGACCGAGTGTCTGTGATGCCGATGAGGGAGGGAGAAGAGAGCATGCTGCTTTTCCAGAGGATCAGGGACTGAGAAGACCAGGAAAGAGGACCAACGCGGTCCCAAAAGAGGCAGCAGGAGTTGACAGACTGGTTTGTGAAGCAGCAAACCAGTCAAAGAAGTGCAAGGTAGATAGAGTAGCGTGCGTCGGAAATAACATGACTCGTGGAGATTTGGAAATAGATGAGAGAGTAGGGTGTGGAAATGTTGAAGAGAAAAGAGAGGAAAATGAGCGGTTGACACGAGGGGCAATCGAAGCAGTAGCTGCTGATGATGATGCAGATGATGATGCATGCGTGAAGACCAAGGTTGGCGTAAATGGCTCTGGGACCTCTGAGCCAGTGAGGAAGATGCCTGCGAGGAGGTGCAAGGCGAAGAGTGTGACGGAAGGAGAGGATAGAAGGCGGCGCTGTGAAACGGGAGGAGGCTCCGCAGACAATAACGATAAAGCTGAGAAGGGAAGACCGAGTGTCTGTGATGCTGACGAGGGAGGGAGAAGAGAGCATGCTGCTTTTCCAGAGGAGAGCATTGGTTTGCTGCTTCACACGCAACAGGCGATGGAATCGGTGAGAGAGAAGACAATGGGAGAGGGAATGACAATCGATGCTAGGCGTTGCCAGTCTGCTGAGGAGAGGCAGAAGGAAACGCACGCCAGTGGGGAAAGTAAACAAGGCGGTGATGGTGATGTGTCCCGCCGGGAAGCAATGGAGAGCAGCACTATCAGGGGAGAATCACTGAGTGAAGATCAGCAGACTTTGCATGCTGCGAAGTGCATAAAAGGCAAAAAAGACAAGGTGGGAAAAATTGCAGTTGCTGGCACAAGTAAGACGACGCGTTTCAAGAAAGCGGAAAACGGAGTGCAGAAAGAAGATGATGATCACTGGAGTGCGGCGCAGCTAGAAGCCTTGAATCGAGCTCAGAGGGCAGTGCATCCAACAACTCCGTTTTTCTGGGTCGAGGTCGCAAAGCGGGTATGTATGGTGTCTTTTTTTTTGGGGGGGGGGGGGGGGGGAGGAGAATTTTGAACCATTTCTCAATTTATTTTTTACTGTATTTATGCCTGTCATCCTTGCGCAGTGAGGGGCCATTTGCTAATAATCTTCTTTCTCTGTGCCGTTCCAATCCGTTTAACGAATGCCCACGGAGTACATGTTGTCTTCTTTCTCTCCCAATGCACCCACCCTTTCTTTTTGGCACATTTTTTTAATGACCCCCTCGTGCCAGTCCACCAACTTTTTTACATCTCCGTTTTTCTGGGTCGAGGTTGCAACAATAACTTGTGGGGTACTTTTTTTTTTTTTTTTTTTTTTTCACCGGTGTTAGTGGTGCTGGTACGAGCAGACACCACTAGCACCTGGGCGGAGGCTCCATCTATTGGTGGGGAGCTTCACCTGCTGGAAACCGGGTCCAGCTTCCCTTTTTACAGACTGGATTTGACTGGATTTGACTGGATTTGACTGGATTTGAAGTCATGATACTCCTGCCAGCATTGATTGCCCTGGGACCCCAGGGGATTAATTGTGCAAGGGGGGAGAACCTCTTCACCCGGACACAGGCGCCAGACTCTTACAATTGAACACTACCTTGCTGGATTTCGCTCATTGGTCGTCCTCTTGTCGATCTGTGATTGCAAAGCGGGGTATGTATCCTGTCTTCTTTCTCTCCCAATGCACCCACCCCACCCTTATTTTTGGCATATATTCCACTTGTTCCGGTCCACCCCTACTAACTCACCGACCAACACGAGGTCTTGACCTTGGATATGCTCATGCCAAACTTTTTTTTTTTTTTTTTTTTTTTCCGAGCCGAAAGTTTTTGGTTGATGGGATGGGCTTAATTCCTCTGTCATGTTTGTAGTCCTGGTCCTGCTGCGATTGGAACCCAGCAGGTAGCAGGGTTTTGCCGATGGCGGCCGCCGACCAGCGGCCAGCTACCTTCTACCGCAGAATAAGAACAGAGAGGAACGTAAGGTCATTTTCGCTGCATCTGGAGGGAAAGATGAGCCAAGTACGGCTATAATGACCGTACGTGAGCGGTCTCTGGAGACGGCATTGATGCTCGTCTGCAGAAACAATGGCAGCAAGGCGACTATGCAGAGAGGCTAAGATTAATCGTTTTAACAAAGGTAAGAGGGGAGTGGGGTGGTTGGGTAAGAGGGGTGGGCAAGGGGGGTGGTTGGGTAAGAGGGAGTGGGCAAGGGGGGTGGTTGGGTAAGGAGGACTGGGCTGGTTGGGTTAGGGGGTGGGTGGTGTGATGTGAAAATACATTCCGGCTCATAGATCTGTCATTAGATTTGGATTGAGAATGTCCTTCGGGACATCCGTTGAAAGGATTGGAACGATTCAGAGGGAGGAGATTAGCATGGCCCCTCTGCGCAAGGATGACACGCATAAATCGAGAAGTGGTCCAAAAAAAAAAAAAAAAAAAAAAAAGATTTGGATCGAGAGTGTCTGAAAACCCTAGCGTAAGTGGAGGTAAACCCTAGTTAACGACTTACGGGTTGGGAAGGTGGGGATTCCAACTGCCACGGGTGGATCGAGTTAAACCCTAGTTTTGGGGGTTGGGAAGGTGGGGATTCGAACTGCCACGAATCCTTTTTTTTTTTTTTTCCCAATAAATGTTATCCATTCTGTTGGTGAGGAGCTGCGCCTGCTGGAAACCGGGTCCAGCGTCCCAAATTACAATAATTACTGAGGCGATGCGACTCAATACCCTCTCATTGCTTTCTGCCAGACATAGGGTCTCGCCCCACGGCACACAAAACGAAAACGAAACGAATGCATCTGCCCACGAAAGATGGCAAATACACTCGTTATATAGCTAACCGATGAATCTGGCCATTTTCTGCAGGAAGATGCACTCGTTTCGTTTTTCGTTTCGTGTCCCGTGCGGGGACGCCCATAGTTACGTAAGATTGCAGCCTCGACCGTCCAGTAAATAAGGGAAGGGGTGTTGTTTTACGCAGTCTATTTTGGAGAAATCTCTCTTAGAAAATATAATACTAGTAAAAAATTACTAAAATAATTACGAAGTACGACCCTAGCCCGAATCCGACCTCTGCAACAACCTGGGCGTTTTTTGGTTTTTTGTTTTCCTCCCTGAAAACAGAAAGGGAATCGTTGAGATCTTCATCTCAAAAAATAATTCGTGGGATGTTATGGATGATATGGCAAAAGCGTTTATTAACTGCAACTCACGCATACTTAAGCCTAATTCGCAGGTGAGGGCCGAACGTCTACGAAAACGGGATTTGAAGGCAAGCAAGGTATATAGATAGTTCAGAGTCGAAAGAGCTCTACAAAGGAAAACTTAACCTTTGAAAAACGTGTTTGTACTGTTCCGCTCATGTTCAGTGGCAAGGTGAACAATCTTTCTACGAATACATAGCAGGTTCAAATCTGTGTGTGTGTGTGTGTGTGGTGTCATATTCGCTATACACTAGTCCATAAAAAAAAGCATGACTGTGCCAAACAGTCTGTTTCGTCGGACTTTTGCCGACTCATCAGGAGGTTGAACCTGGACAGACAGTCTGCCCAGGATGCATTTGATGGATGGATAAGGACTCACCTTATCCCCCAGAGTTAGCGATACCCATCCTTGAGAGAGAAAAGTGGTCGACTTTACTCACACCAACCTTCCAATCCTAGCAGACTGCCGGTCCAAACCCCTGACAAGAACGGCAGTAAGTCTGAGAAACTAATCTGATACAGTCATAAAACCCACTCTACACACCCACTCAGCCATGGACACCCAATGGCATGACCGATAGTGCGGTCCCAACCCTAGTGTGTGTGTGTGTGTGTGTGTGTGTGTGTGTGTGTGTGTGTAAGTGGGTGTGTGTGGGTGTGCGTGTGTGTGTAGATGAAATCGAATCCCCCCGTCTTATGGACGTCGACAAGTGGGCAACCAGTGGGCGCCAATCGGTTGATCTGTTGGCTAGTCGACAGCCTATCAGTCAGGGGCTGCTGACGGTCGGCAGTGTAACTCTGCCGCTGTCCAGCAGCGTCGACTTACTTATAGTTTGTTTAGCCTTTAGCTCATATAGCAGTGTCGACTTACTTATGGTTTGTTTAGCCTGTAGCTTAAAGTGTCAGGTGCGAAATTGTGTTACATTTTGGGTGCAGGGCTGCGCGGTCAGGACCGCATCGAGTTTGCCGTTTGAGCTATGTATGACAGTTGGTAGCCCGACATACAAGGGAGGCGGTGTTCTTGTGCGCATTTGTCGTTCGAGGCAAGAAGTGCAACCATACCTGCTACTTACTCCAGAGATAGTGTGTACTATGTTCTTGCATTGTGCCCTGCACTGCCGAGTTCCCAGGTGGACCCCATTAACGATGGGGGGTTCCATCGTATTTGTTTCAACTGTGAATGAATGAAACATGCGATGCATGTGAAGAGCAATCAAGTCCGATTGGCAGTGTGCTTGGCATGAAATTAACGAGCAATTCAAGCAAACCCTTAGAAAAACACCACATAATCCAAGAAGCAACGTAATCCAAAAAGACAAAGTAATAAAGAAGAGAGAGACGAAGTCCTGGGAGACGCGATGAAGTTTATCCCTCCCTCGGTGGAACCCAGCTGAGGCGATCAACGACTGCCGTTCAACGTTGTCCTTGACTCATTTGCCTTTATACTTGTATGTTTCGTTTTGCCCCAGGTGCCCGGGAAAACTTCTACCCAGTGCTACGCCAAGGTTTTTGAACCGATTCGCTCTCCAAGGCGTCGACGCGTGGCGCCTCGATCTCAAAGCACCGCATCTGGAAAGCAGCAAACGAAGGTACAGAACCCAGCCTGTGACCCACAGGCAGCATCATCATTAACAGCCAAACCTCAATGGAACATGTTGACTGGGAAGAGGTTGGGGGTGTCTGCAATGATGGCTGCGCACAGAGCGGCGAGAGAGATGGTACGGAGCGCGGCCAGCCTGAACAGGACGAAGGCAAGGCTGTCAAGTATTGTAGAGGTTGATGGTGGCACGCAGGAGTCGGGCGGGGCCATTGCAGGTACCAGCGTCATGAACGGCAGCCATCGTGTGAGCGGAATTGGAGGTTCGACGGGGACCACTACACAGGTGGGAGCGGTGGTAAGATCAAAAAGTGCCCTTGGCAAGTGTACGGTCGGTGAAAGCTGCATGACGGAACCTGATACTGATGGCTCTGAGGACGTGTCTCCAGCAAGTGAAGAGGAGGAGAGGAGCTTGTTCCAGAGCAAGGCGGAGCAGCGCAAGATGGACAGGTTTGTGGACTTCTACCTCAGGAAGAAATACAGAGCACAGCTCGAGAGGGAAAAAAGGGAGAGAAAGATGGCAGGCCGCGGCGCAAGATCAGTGAACTCGAACTCGATGTGCTTCTCCTCGGTGAGTTCCCTCACAGCAAAGTGTCCAGAGGACTGCGATCCGAACAGGAATAAGAATGCGGACAACAAGGGTGCGGCGTTCCCAGTGAGTCAGAACGCTGTCCAAGTCTCAGCCCCACTGCAAAAACTAGCCCAAGTTTCAGCCCAGCTCCAAAAACTAGCGCAAACATCACTATCAAAGTGCGAAGAGCTTCATCGTTGTAGGAGAGGCAATGACGACCCCATGGACGACAGCGAAGATCCAGACGAGGACAAGGACTTCTATTTCAGTCCGTGAAGTGCCGCAACCCGAATCCCCCACCCACCTCCCCCTCCCTCCTTCCTTTAGAAAGCTAGAAGAAATGTACAGACTGGGAAAGAAAGAAGAAGTGGACACAAAACCCCTTCTTCAATTTCTACTTTCTCCTCATGAAGTCTTTACTTCTTCTCTCTGTTCATTGTTCATCTTAGGATCACCTTATAAGTTATAAGCTTTGTTTATTTGAAATTATTTACCCGTTTTAGTCTGTGAACTAGGACACTTTTCGAAGTTGTTGCCATCCGATTGAAGCTCCTTGGAAAGTCCTCCAAGGATAAATATTAAATGGTATATCAACATCTGTCCAGACACTGGACAGTCGTTGTTTTTTCCTTATCTGTGTTGCTTGGTATGTGGAAAATGGGCATACCTATGATGTGCTACATGGGTACTATGCCCATGCTATGCACATACTGTCTATGTACTTTGGATGCACTATGTTGTACGTGCGTGTGTATCAAGCATGCATGCACTCTCTCTATGCCCAGCATGCGCACCACGTATATGTGCTAAATAGGTACTACGTCTGTGCTATGCGCTCTGGGGAGCCCACGTATATGTGCTATGCACATACTTATGATGTGCTAAACAGATCCTATGTGTGTGCTATGCACATACTATGTGCTAAATCGGTACTCTGCGTGTGTGTGTATCAAGCATGCATGCACTCTCTCTATGCACTACATGCACACCACGTATATGTGCTATGCGCACACTCATAATGTACTAAATAGGTACTATGTGTGTGCTGTGGGCGCCGGGCAGACCACGTACATGTGCTATGCACATACTTATGATGTGCTAAACAGGTAATATGTGTGTGTTATGCACATACCATGTGCTGAATCGGTACTAAGATACGCTATGTTTTACGTTCTACGTGTGTGTGTATCAAGGATGCATGCACTCTGCACTCTCTATGCCCGACATGCACACCACGTATATGTGCTATGCACATACTTATGATGTGCTAAATAGGTACTATGTATGTGCTATGCACATACTGTGTATGTACTTTGGGTACACTATATTCCACGTGTGTATCAAGCATGCATGCACTCTCTGTGCCCTCTGCATGCACACCACGTATATTGGAACAGTGAATGCCACGTGCATGTGCTGTGTCTATGTGGACATCCTTTCACCATACGTGATGAAAGGAAATAGTTTGCCGTAAAACTCTTTTTTTTGCTTTTGCTGTGTGAGTACCTCTTCGATGCACCAGCTGAGAAAATCTCTCATATGTCTGTGGGCTAGGTACTCTGCATACCTCTTTGCCCTTTCTTAGAGTTGTTCCATTCAAACTCCCCCCCCTCCCCCCACCCCTTGTCTTCCAATCTGGAGCCTCACGTGCTGGGAACCGGGCCCAGTGTCCCATATGAAATTGTATTCATTAGGATAAAAATAAGTGACGAAGAGCGAGGGCTTGCTCGTCAGGATGGAGCACAACTTACAGAAGCCATGCATTGTATTTACCCCCCGGCTGGCCTCTTTTTTCAAATGTCCGAGTTCTGTGTTTTCTTTGCATAAAAAGATCAAGTGTAGTATCTGTCCTCATCAGTTTAATATCTGCCCCATGGTGGTCCATCGGAAAAAAAAAAAAAAGTTAAAAAAACAAGTCTGTTAGATCCCAGGCTGTAACGTGGGTGGGGAAGTGTCACGAGTGTGCTCTCTTACACTTCACGGACGCTGGGCCCGGTTTCCGGCAGGTGTTTGCTCCCGAGTCGCCACCAATAGGAGCTTATATTCAAAGAACAAAAAACAAAAAAAAAGTCTGGACCCCATGGAACTGCGTTCAGTATCTGGTGGATCATCTGAAAGTTTGGGACCTGTATGGTTCATTCCATGGAACTCCTGTCGGTCCCATGGGAGGGCTCTAGCCAAGCTTGTCCACAATTACTGCAGCCTCGTGGCATTGCGGCAAATTTGTCGAAAATTTGGACCTTTGTGGGGTTATGTGCATACGATGCTTTGGAGGATGTGCGACTACGTCGTCTAGTGTCTCGTCGTCTAGTGTCGCGTTGGTATCGACCAGAGTCAGTCAATTGTGACTGGTCCAATCATCAAGCATTTTGCTGGCCTATACACCCAGCGCATGTGACATAGCTTGTATAAGATGGTATAGACTAAGTATAAGATGGTATAGACTAAGTATAAGATGGTATAGACTAAGTGTTTATAGGTTAAGTATGAATCATTTCGCAGGCCTATACCCAGTGCATGTGACATAGCTTTTATAAGATGGTATAGACTAAGTGTTTATAGATAGGCTAAGTATTTTCTGGAGTGACATAGCTTGTATAAGATGGTATGGACGTAGTGTTTATAGATAGGCTAAGTATCAAGCATTTTGCTGGTCTATACCCAGCGCATGAGTATTTTCTGGAGTGGCATAGCTTGTATAAGATGGTATAGACTAAGTGTTTATAGGCTAAGTATTTTCTGGATATGACTAAGTGTTTGAGAGGCCAAGTGTTTATATGCTCAGAAGAGGATAGTATATAGGAGAATACAGTGTAGGGGAGTGGACAACTGCGATGTGTGGAACAAAAATAGCCTAGGGTAAGATGGTATAGACTAAGTATGGTATAGACCAAGTCCTAAGTATGGTATAGACTAAGTATCCTGGATGGTATCGACCTATAAACCGAGTATTCTGGAGAAGATGGAACAAAACCTAAGTATGGTATAGACAACAAAACCTAAGTATGGTATAGACTAAGTATTCTGGATGGTATAGACCTATAGACCAAGTATTCTGGATAAGATGGAACAAAGACAGTCTAGGAGGAGATGACATAGACTAAGTATTTTGGATAACATAGCGTAGGTTACAGCCCAGGATAAGATGGTATTGTAATGACCTGTGATGTGAAATCCCAGACTGAAAGGCCTGCTGTTTCCTGAGTTTTGTCGCTGGACTGAGTGACTTGCTGAGATCCCCGTATCTGCGAAGATCCCTCAGTACGTGAGTTTGCATGATTGCTGCGTTTCCGTGTGTGTGCATGATCACTGCATGATTGCTTGGGTGTGTGTGTGTGTGTGTGTGACCGGCCAGGGTACTTGTGTGCTGAGAAGGCCCCCGGGCCCGGTTTTCACCTGAAGCCGTGCTTTTGTGAGGGTGCAGCGGAAGTAGGAACAGGCTAGGCCCGCGCAGGATGGGAAATGCTCAAGTAGCGCGTAGGGTAGGCATAAAGTTAGGAGAACTTAGGACTTTTAGAGGCCGAAGGAATTTTTAGAAGTCCGGTAGGTTTACGAGGCTAGGGGCACCGGTCCAGTTGCTGAGTCTAGAGCCTGCAAGACGGGATATCCGTCCGACTGCAATGATGTTTCCCTCCGCAATGGGGAAGGTACAGGGTAGACTTGAGGCCACCCGGCCTCGAAACCAACGCAAGAAGAGGCACTACTCCGGTATATCAAGGGAAGCAGCAAAGAGCTCTTCCTCATTTGCAGCGTGGAAGTTTGGACGACACGATGGTGGAGCGAGCGCTCAGTCTAGCAACGCTGGGGAGGAAGAATGTGGGCTTGGCCCTCTACCTTGGATATGATGCAGGGGACCAAGGAGGAGACTCCGGGGGAGTAGGAAGAGGAGGAGGAAGACGGTGAGCAAGGAGGAGGGTGGCGGAGGAACTTACCTGGCTATGGCGGTCTGCATCTTATTCTTGTTGGTTGGCGCTGCACCTGGTTGGCATATACAAGGAAGACTTTGGGGGTAGTGCTAGGCTTGGCGGCCATAGTACGAGACACCCATTAGCTTGGGGTGGGAGGTAGGTGTATGAGATGGCTATGGTGGACCTTTTGAGTGGCTAGCAGTAGGAGGACAATTCAGACATTGGTTCTGGTTCATTCTTTCATTGTTATTGTCATTATTATTTTTGAGAAGAAGTTGGGGAGTAAATGGAGGTTGGAGATGGTGGCGAGATACGGGTACACTTTTTGTGTGGACTTTTTTTTATTTGCCGTAAACTTGTCGTACCTTTGCTAGTCAATGCTGTGTGAAATTTTTGTGTTGTCACGACGCTGGACTGAAAACAATGCAAGGAGAGGACGCTGACCGGCCAGTTTATTTAACACAAATTTTCTGCCGACAAGGAAGCGAATGCAAGCAGACGGTGTTGGCCGTTTCCATCGGCTCTGGTACTTTCCAAGTTATGTGGAAGATCACACTGATATATGGAGAAAATTGCAACAAGACTCGATCATAAGAATCAAATTGCAACCATACCCCATTCTAACAGTCATCATGTCAAGAAAGGAACTGATATGTGTGTGCCATCTCCACCGCGCATCTTCCCTGCTTTTCCATGCTGCTTGCCTT